TGAAAAACATTTAGCTCGTTTGGGAGTTCTGCATCACTGAGTTCTGCATCTTACGGCTGGGTTTCCCTTTGTAATCCATGATCATCTGCAAACCCTGCCACATACGATGAGCGTCGGCGCCGTAGTAATGGGATTCCACCTTCCTCCTATATTGTCATTTTGCATGTTTGATGTGTCGTCGGAGGTCGTAGCGGGATTTCTTGTATGTGTCCATGTCCGTGTCACGTTCCTTGTAAGCGGTAGCTCTTTAGCCCAGTGCGGATATTGCCTGTAATCGATGGTTTTTGGTTTGGATACGTTCGTATAGTCACTGTGGGGACGACGTCGTCTATGCACTTATTGATGAAGCCCGTGACTGATGTGGTAAACTCCTCAATGCTATCAGATGAATCCCAGAACATATCCCAGTCTGTACTAGCAAACAGTCTTGTAGCCTCGCGTCTGCTTTATCAGACCACTTCCGTACTGAGCGCATCACTGGTACTTCCTGTTTGAGTTTTTGTTTCTAAACATGAAGCAGGAGAATAGAGACGTGGTCAGATTTGCCGAAGGGAGGACGTGGGAGGGCCTTGTATGCGTTTCTGTGGGTAGAATAAAAGTGGTCTAGAGTTTTAGCGCTCCTAGTGGTGCAGAAGACATGCTGGTAGAAGTGAGGTAGAACGGTTTTAAGTCTCCCCGCATTAAAGTCTCCGCTCACCAAAAACACTGCCTCTGGGTGAACGGTTTCTTGTTTGTTTATGGCCCCATACAGTTCGTTGAGTACCAAAGTGGTGTTGGCTTGTGGAGGGATGTAGACAGCCGTGATGATTATGGATGATAATTATCTTGGTAAATAAAAGTGTCTGCAGCTTACCATGAGGTTTTCTATATCAGGTGAGCAAAAGCTTGAGATTAACAAGGCGGACTTCGTCCGATCGTGCCGCTGCATGGAGAAACCACTGAGTTCTACGTACATAGTCATCCAAAGAGTTGTCTGTGCAAGGTATATTATATTGCAGCTTTTCAAGCCACTCTGATAGGAGACTCTCGAATGAAGCTCATCCATCTTATTCTCTAGTGGCTGGCCATTTGCCAATAGAACGGAGGGGAGTGCCGGTCGATTTGTCTCAGTCTCACCAGGATGCCGGCTCATCTACCCCATCTACGCCAGTGGCGTTTTGGTAGCCCATGAAACAAAGGAATTGGGTCCGGTATGAACAAGGGAACCGGTGAGTCTGAGATGAAGTCGGATTTGAAGTTGAAATCAAGGTTAGTAACTGTTGATCTGATGTCCAGAAGTGCTTGGCGGTCATACACTGAGTATAGAAAACATTCAGAACACCTGCTCTTTCCATGACATAGACTAACCAGGTGAATCCAGGTGAAGCTATGATTCCTTATTGATGTCACTTGTTAAATCCACTTCAATCAGTGTAGATGAATGGAGGAGGCAGTTAAAGATGGATTTTTAAGCCTTGAGACAATTTAGACATGGATTGTGTGTGTGTGCAATTCAGAGGATGAATGGGCAAGACAAAAGATTGAAGTGCCTTTGAACAGGGTATGGTAGTAGGTGCCAGGTGCACCGGTTTGTGTCGAACTGCAAGGCTGCTGGGTTTTTTCACGCTCAACAGTTTCCCGTGTGTATCAAGAATTGTCCACCACCCAAAGGACATCCAGCCAACTTGACACAACTATGGGAATCATTGGAGTCAACATGGGCCAGCATCTCTGTGGAACGCTTTCGAGTCCATGCCCCGGAGAATTGAGTCTGTACTAAGGGCAAAAAGGGTGTTCCTGATGTTTGGTATATTCAGTGTATGTGATAATAGTATGAACTTTCTGTACAACAAAAAGTAAAGATAAACATGAAAAAAGTCACTAAATAACAAAGTCAGTTTGGAAGTCGTAAGATGTGGCCCTTCTCCGTCTGCGTCATTTCCCAAGCGGCCAACCTCAAAGTGGTTCACACACTGCCTATTACCGTTGACAGGAATAGCTAGTGCCTTACTGCATGGCTTAAACCTCTTCCCACTGCTCTGCTGACATGGGTTCAAATAGTAATTGTTTTCTTTCAAATACTTTGAGCTGTGCCTACGCTTGAGCCTGCCTGTCAGCTACATTTCATTCAAGTACAGGTAAGGTATTTGAAAGAAATTAAATACTATTTGGCCCACGACCCCATTTTGATATCTGAAAATTCTTGTGACCCCAACCATGTGAAAAACAATTATGTAATTAAGGTCACGTTGGAGATTCTCAAAGTCAGGGGGTGTGGTTGACAGTGGGCACCTCATCTCTCCTGTCACATCCAACTTGGATCGATATTTGTTTTTAATGCAGACGAGAGCACTGAATCAGCGTACCATGAGTTTTAGTGCTCAGAGGGAGACAGCACAGTATTCCCTTTGTGTCAGGAACCAAAACTCCTCTTTAGTGACCCGTAAATGCATTGTCTGCAGCATTCGGTCACATGACAGCTCGATCAGCTGTTCCAAATTCACTTACTGGCATGTCAACTGAGTCAGGATCACAGTCAAATGGAAACATAGAAAGACGCATTTCGTTATATGTAGACAATGTGCTTTTATACCTCTCGGACCCAGTAGCCTCTGTCCCTAACCTACTAGACTTCATTCAATAAATTGGGGAAAAAGTGATCTCATGTGTATCTCAGATAATATTACTGCAAGTGATTTAGAGAGGTTACCATTTAAAGTGGTGCATGACCACTTAACTTACCTGGGACTAAAAATACCTAGAAATCCAAAGCTCATCTTCAAGCTTAACTACAGTGAGCTGGTTGCAAAGCTCAAACAAAACATGGAGAGCTGGAGAATATTGCTTCTTTCTATGATGGGGCGCATTAATGCCATTAAAATGGTTTCTCTCATCCAGGTTCCTTTATCTTTGCCAGAATCTTCACATTTTTCTTACCTCATCATTTTTAAAGACTTAGGACTCGACAATCTTGTCATTTGTCTGGGGTCACAAAAACCATCGTATTTGTAAAGCCCACTTGCAAAAGCCCAAGGAAAGTGGCGGCTTAGGCCTACCCATCTTTAAGTATTATTACTGGGCTGCAAATGCCAGGGCATTAACGTACTGGCAACTGGGTTTCCCTGATAAGTTGGACGCTGTTGCCCCCCTGTGGCTAAATATGGAAGTCAAGTCTGTAACAAATTCCTCTCTTCCAGTCTTGCTTTTCTCCTAAGCAGGGTGCCCAAACAAACTGACAGGCAACAACTTTGTTTTGAGAAATTCTTTAAAATTTCAAACCAGATGAAGCATGTTTTAAGGTGTCTGATATCTCTGTATACACCCCAATATGCTTTAATCATTATTTTGTTCCATCTGGGTCTGATAAGGTGTTTGTTGAATGGAGGGAGAAGGGACTGGCCACAGTTGAAGATTTATACATAAAGCAATTAGCATCATTCATCTAATTTAAGAATAAATTCAATCTCTCCCATTCACATTTTTTCAGTTATTTACAAGTCAGACACTATATTAAAGAGAAAATTCAAAATGTTGACAACCTCCCTGTACAACATTAGTTTTATGATTTGCTACAGCGGCCTCCCAACTCAAAACACCTCATCTCACAGTGTGTCTCCTTTCTCTCCAACTACACAGAGGCCTCTACTAGTCATCTCAAGGAGAACTGGGGTAAAGAGTTAAATATTGAAATCTCAAATGATCTATGGGGAGAAGCCCTGTCTAGAATTCACTCCTGTTCCATCAATGCCAGATATCAATTGATACAATACAAAGTCATGCATAGACTTCATTACTCCAAAACCAAATTACATAGAATTTACCCCCAGTGTAAAACCTCAGAGGGTTCATTAACTCATCTTTTTTGTCTCTGCCCCCTACCTAATTATTTTTGGAGGAACATCTTTGATTGGTACTCAAAGGTATATGAGAGGGCCATTAATCCTGACGCAGAACTTGCTCTCTTTGGCTGCTCATAGTCTGCTCTAAGATCGTCTTAGGAGACACACAGACGACTTAGTTTGAAGGTGCAAAAATTAATACTCCCCACGATGGAAGTCACCACCCCGCGTTGCCCCATAGATTCTATCAAATGATTAACCATATCCCTGACGGAATTATTAGCTGCAGACTACTGGCCAATTTCCAAGATGGGTCTCCGTTCGCTGTCCTTGGACAGAGCTGATTGAACACGACAGGAAACCTTATTGTGTTTAACTGTCGATTGCGTGCTTAGTCTTGCGCCCTCAGTATGCTTAAGTCTACTCTAGATTTCATATGGGCCAGTTGTGTTTTTGGATGGTGGCTTTGAATGTACTTACAAAGAACACATCCTTTAACACAAAATATTAACAAATACTAATAAAATATTTTTTTTGGACACTGCAGATTCAAGATGGGTCCGTTCGGACAGTCTTGAAAGAGTACTTGAACATGACTGGATCTTTGTTTTGAGCAGTTGCTAGCTTGCCCAGTAGCTAAGCAATATTTATTTCATATGTCTGGCAGTTGTGTTTTTTTGTTATTTTTTTGTGTGCTTTTGTTTTGTACTTAATTGCAAAAGAAAATCCTTTAAAATAAAATATACCAAAAAAAACAAAAAGTTTTTTTGTCACATGCAGAGGATACAGAAGGTGTAACGTTAAGCGGTACAGTGAAATGGTTACTTGTATAATGGTATCTTTTGTTTAGACAAGTAGCTAGCTTGCTAGCTAGCTAAACAATGATCCATAATCCCAACTCATACTACCATGCAACATCCATAAATCTGCAGGTAGCTAAAGCTAACCAACTAGGTTCAATGTTAGCTAGCTAACATTAGGCTATAACTAGCAATGCAAATGGTTTTCTGCGATAAGAACAATATTACTACACAGATCCTACACGTAATGTTAGCTAGCGAGCCAGCCAGCTAACGTTAGCTAGCAAACTAACAGTACTCTTTAACTTGCAATAAAAACGACTTTCTGACTAAATTAGAAATGTATAAAATCTGAAATGTAGCTCAACTCTTACCTGTATACATGGATGAACGCTTCTCCCTCTCTATCATGGATGCCATGGTTGCCCTTAGTTTGAAGATGTAATCCTGAGACAGGTGTTTTATACAACAGCCTTCTGTGTTTTCTTTTCAACTCTCTCCGCATTTGGCAATCATCTCTCTGCTTCCACCAGGCATTCCACTGATTTCAAAAACTTGGTCAACTTCTTCCGTGACAACAACACTGTTGATCGCCGTTTCTTCCCCGTCACTGTCATCAGACGACGACTACAATGTCTGGTTCAATGAAAATGTTTTTACCTAAATCAGGGATTTCCTCATTGTCTGATTCATTTTCAGAGTCTGAGAGAGTCAGCATGGCACAATCGTCCTCCAGAAAGTAGTCCATCACAACTTTTTCCCACTGATCTTTGTCGATAGCGCCTGTTAACTTAATGGCAGCAATGTTGAGTGCGGTAGCAAAACAATGTCATATCTTCATGATATCTTTCAAAACAAGCCGCGGTAGAAAGGAATATCTACACATACTGAGCAGCTCATGTTATAGACAGAAGCATGCCACGTGGCAGACCAATCCAAACACATCTCTCGGCTTGTCCAGCCCATCCATTATCTCAGCCAATCATGGCTAGCGGGAAGGTTCCTGTCTTTTTCCGTGGCTAAACCAACTAGCCTCGTAATCTAACAATTGTATTCATATTTACAGATGGCAGACAACAGAGTTCCTCAACTGGCCGAATATGGCCCGTTGGTGGTTTTATTTGGCCCCCAAGTTGTCTGAGCAAGAAAAAAAGTTTTTTTTCCTCTCATTTTTTGTGTGTTTTTTTTTTGTTGTACCAGGAAATCAGCTTCAAGTCATTTTTATTTTGGAAATCTGTTCCTAAGTATTCCCACGCATAATAGAGAAACGTGAATGTATATAAATATTAATAATTAATCATAATTGATTGGATTTTCTAGCACTTTTCTACTAACTGAGGTACTCAAAGCGCTTTACATAGTAGGAGGAAATTCACCTCATCCACCATCAATGTGTAGCACCCACCTCAGTGATGCACGGCGACCATTTTTGTGCCAGAACGCTCAACACACATCAGCTACAGTTGAAGTCGGAAGTTTACATACACCTTAGCCAAATACATTTAAACTCAGTTTTTCACAATTCCTGACATTTAATCCTAGTAAAAATTCCCTGTCTTAGGTTAGTTAGGATCACCACTTTATTTTAAGAATGTGAAATGTCAGAATAATAGTAGAGAGAATTATTTATTTAATATTTTATTTCTTTCATCACATTCCCAGTGGGTCAGAAGTTTCCATACACTCAATTAGTATTTGGTATCATTGCCTTTAAATTGTTTAACTTGGGTCAAACGTTTCGGGTAGCCTTCCACAAGCTTCCCACAATAAATTGGGTGAATTTTGGCCCATTCCTCCTGACAGAGCTGGTGTAACTGAGTCAGGTTTGTAGGCCTCCTTGCTCGCACATGCTTTTTCAGTTCTGCCCACACATTTTCTATAGGATTGAGGTCAGGGCTTTGTGATGGCCATTCCAATACCTTGACTTTGTTGTCCTTAAGCCATTTTGCCACAACTTTGGAAGTATGCTTGTGGTCATTGTCCATTTGGAATACCCATTTGCGACCAAGCTTTAACTTCCTGACTGATGTCTTGAGATGTTGCTATCCACATCATTTTCCTTCCTCATGATGCCATCTATTTTGTGAAGTGCACCAGTCCCTCCTGCAGCAAAGCACCCCCACAGCATGATGCTGCTACCCCCGTGCTTCACGGTTGGGATGGTGTTCTTCGGCTTGCAAGGCACCCCCTTTTTCTTCCAAACATAATGATGGTCATTATGGCCAAACAGTTCCATTTTTGTTTCATTAGACCAGAGGACATTTCTCCAAAAAGTGCGATCTTTGTCCCCATGTGCAGTTGAAAACCGTAGTCTGGCTTTTTTTATGGCGGTTTTGGAGCAGTGGCTTCTACTTGCTGAGCGGCCTTTCATGTTATGTCGATATAGGACTCTTTTACCAGCATCTTCACAAGGTCCTTTGCTCTTGTTCTGGGATTGATTTACACTTTTCGCACCAAAGTACGTTAATCTCTAGGAGACAGAATGCGTCTCCTTCCTGAGCGGTATGACGGCTGCGTGGTCCCATGGTGTTTATACTTGCGTACTATTATTTGTACAGATGAATGTGGTACCTTCAGGCGTTTGGAAATTGGTCCCAATGATGAACCAGACTTGTGGAGGTCTACACATTTTTTTCTGTGGTCTTGGCTGATTTATTTGGATTTTCCCATGATGTCAAGCAAAGAGGCACTGAGTTTGAAGGTAGGCCTTGAAATACATCCACAGGTACACCTCCATTTTGACTCAAATGATGTCAATTAGCCTGTCAGAAGCTTCTAAAGCCATGACATCATTTTCTTGAATTTTCCAAGCTGTTTAAAGGCACAGTCAACTTAGTGTATGTCAACTTCTGACCCACTGGAATTGTGATACAGTGAATTATAAGTGAAATAATCTGTCTGTAAACAATTGTTGGAAAAATTACTTGTGTCATGCACAAAGTAGATGTCCTAACCGACTTGCTAAAACTATAGTTTGTTAACAAGAAATTTGTGGAGTGGTTGAAAAACGAGTTTTAATGACTCCAACCTAAATGTATGTAAACTTCCGACTTCAACAGGTGGAGAGGTGAGGAGTGATATATGCCAATTAGGAATGATAGGCATGATTAGGTGGTCATGATGGAATGTGTCCAGGTTGGGAATTTAGCCATGACACCTGGGTGAACACCCCTACTCTTACAACAAGTGCCATGGGAATTTGAATGGCCACAGAGTCAGGACACCCGTTTTAACGTCCCATCCGATAGACAGCACCCTAAGCAGGGCAATGTCCCCAAATGTAATCAAGGTTTGTAATGATTATGTTTTTGTTCAATATTATATCTGTTTGGGCTTCTTGCGGTCAATTTGCAGTCAACATTTTTTTATTATTATGTTCCGGCCCCACGACCATCCGCTCAAGAAAATATTGGCCCGCGGCTGAATCTAGTTGATGATCCCTGGCATACACGTTTGTTATTAAGGCACATGAAAGTTCACATGTTCCAGAAGGCATTTCTGCCAAAAAAACCACATTTGGATAATTAAAAAATAAAACGTTCAAATTCCTCTCATGTAAAGTAGTGACGTGCGACATATGCCTAGCTTCTTGAAACGGGTCACATATTGGTAGATGGGTAAAAACTATCCCTTTGAGTATGGTGAACTTATTAACCTCTTAAGGATCGGACCCTTTTTTTCAATTTTCGCCTAAATGACATACCCAAATCTAAACTGCCTGTAGCTCAGGACCTGAAGCAAGGATATGCATATTCTAGATACCATTTGAAAGGAAACACTTTGAAGTTTGTGGAAATGTGAAAGTAATGTAGGAGAATATAACACATTAGATCTGGTAAAAGATAATACAAACATAAAAACATTTTTTTTGTCCCATCATCTTTGAAATGCAAGAGAAAGGCCACAATATAACGTTGCAGTTTAGGCGCAATTTGGATTCTGGCCACTAGATGGCAGCAGTGTGTGTGCAAAGTTTCAGATTGATCCAGTGAAGCATTGCAATACTGGACTATTTTGTACCAAGTCTGCCCAAATGTGCCGAATTGGTCAATTGATACATTTTCAAGTACATAACTATAGAGAACATACAAAAATTATATGGTAATACAAAATGTAAGTTTACACACTCCCTGGAATGTCATACATGATGGATCATTAGCTTATACACTAACTTTCACACATCTAGCAGGGGTTCAAACTTTAGAACCCAGTTCCTACATTTGAATACAGAAATTGATTTTATCAAACAAAACTATGCTACATTTTATCTCTGGGACCCTTAGGATGACAAATCAGAGCAAGATTACTGAATGTAAGTACATTCACCTCTGTAGGTAAATAATGTATCAAACCAGTTGCCGTGATAAGTATTTTGTGGTTGTGCACTCTCCTCAAACAATAACATGGTATTATTTCACTGTAATAGCTACTGTAAATTGGACTTTTTCTGCCCATATAAGACATGTCTATGTCCTGGAAAGTGTGTTGTTACTTACAACAGTCATGCTAATCACATTAGCGCACGTTAGCTCAACCGTCCCGTATAAGGGACACCGATCCCGTAGAGGTTAATGACACTTTGCATGGTGTATCAATACACCCAGTCACTACAAAGATACAGGCGTCCTTTCTAACTCAGTTGCCGGAGAGGAATGAAACCATTTCACCATGAGGCCAATGGTGACTTTAAAACAGTTAGAGTTTAATGGCTGTGAAAGGAGAAAACTGAGGATGGATCAACAACATTGTAATAATACTAACTTAAATGACAGAGTGAAAAGAAGGAAGCCTGTACAGAGTAAAACATATTCCAAAATGTGCATCCTGTTTGCAATAAAGCACTAAAGTAAAACTGCAAAAAATGTGGCAAAGAAATGAACTTTATGGAACTTTATGTTTTGGCAAATCCAACACAACACATCACTGAGTACCTCTCTTAATATTTTCAATCATGGTGGTGGCTGAATTATGTTATGGGTATGCTTGTCATCGGCAAGGGAGTTTTTTAAGCATACAAATAAATGGAATAGAACTCCTGGTTCAGTCTGCTTTCCAACAGACACTGGGAGAACAATTCACCTTTCAGCAGGACAATAACCTAAAACACAAGGCCAAATATACACTGGAGTTGCTTACCAAGATGACATTGAATGTTCCTGAGTGGCCTAGTTATATTTTTGACTTACATCTGCTTGAAAAGCTATGGCAAGACTTAAAAATGGCTGTCTAGCAATGATCAACAACCAACTTGACAGAGCTTGAAGAATTGTGTGGTCTGTTGTGGAAATTCTAACCAGGAAGGAGAGACTTTGTTATTTCTTCAAACAATCAACCTTTATTTAAAAATAATTGTAATAATGAAGCTGGTCAACCCCACACTCTGAAGTATAAGGCTGAGAGCTCAATAATACAGAAAATACAGAGGTCTTATATAGTAGACCTAAAAATTTTTAGTCATGGCTGGTTCCACCCCTCCCTGGCTTAGTTTCTCAGAAGCAAAGATGATTCAAAACAATAACAGGTTTGTTCTGTTTCTCAAGCTATCTCTATCTCAAGTGGCACCATGTCCTTGACCATATGCCCAGACCAGCTGCGGGGAGCTAAGGGGGGAACCATCCTTTTGCAAAAGCACAGCAGTGGTAGTTATGAAAATTATGTTATCATGGGTAAGAGATCTCTTACTGTTGCCAAGCACATAGTTGTTAACTATCAATATTCATACAGATAATAATCAACAAAGCAGGTAAATACGTAATTTTTCCCTCACAGGTCTGAGGCGTGCATTCGATTACGAGCGTTTTCAAGTGCAACGTTAATAATGATGGTTTTGGGAATCAGATCAGAGATTTAACGATGCTTCTACGAAGGTTCTAACGATGAACTCAGCCTTAAGATGCTTTTGGGGAAACCGGCCCCAGGTCATTCCTGTGTGATCTCAGATTTGTACCATTCTGCACTTGTAAAACTGCACAGCTGTCTTGTACACTTTGTCTGGACTGTATGAATATTCACTCAGAAGAAGAAGAACAAAAACAGGGACTATAGTATACCGAGGAAGAGAATCCCCCTGCCCAGACCAGTACCTCCCCCATCCCCCTCTTCCACATCTGGGCTAATCAGCCACATTAGTCCAGGGTGCCACCTGTACAACCACCTGTTTGTACCCAGGCCACCAGGTCTACAGCCCATTGGCTGCCTCAGTATTCCACACAGCACCTGTTCACCAGCCTGAGAGAGAAAGACCCTCTCTCTATCCCTCATTTCCCCTTCCCCATAGACCTAGAGCAGTACAGCAAAATCAATACAAATAAAGCCTCAACCATCAATGAAAAATGAGAGGGACCTTTAAGAGTGCCAAAGCTATTTCTTCAGCTATTATATTTGACTTCATAACAATTGGACAGGGCTGATTTAAATATCATGTTATTTATAGACTTTGATATTTAAAACACTTTGAAATGCCAGTTAGGCTTGGCTCGCTTAACTGCTGCTCACACGGACAGAATGTGAGCATTTTTTTAAATTTATTATTGAGATTGTTTTGTGAGTGAGAGTTGGAACCTTGAACGACTTGCCTCCAGGGAATAGACAAGTGAAAGACGATAATCCCTTCTGAGAGGGTCAAGGGGTATAAGTATACGTTCGTGATGAACAGTCCTTCTTACAATTCCATTTTCCATCCGCTTTGTGTTGACCCTTAACCTCTAACCTCTCCCCTCTATCCAGGTGAACGCCCCAGCTCCGGTGCGGCCGGGGGCAGTGGAGCAGTACAAGAGGGCGTTTGCCCGTCAGCGAGCTCGTGACCTGGCGCAGCATGCTGATACACTGCTCTACAAGGACAAGGAGATTGCCGCCCTGCATCATGAGTGTAGGCAGCTGGAGACCCGTCTGGGCACGGCCAAGGTACCCAACACCATAGAAATAGAATCGGAATACCCATTCTAGTATCTGTACTTCTATACCCAATTCAGCCCCAGAACACTCTTTCAAGACCAATCTAATGTTTGTGTTCGAGATCGACTACTTTGCAGTCTGACTGCGCAGAATCACTGATCTAACAATCAACTTGGCTTGCATCCCCTCAAACGCGCTGAACATTTAAATAATAACCTATTATGTAACACTAGCAGTCTGCCCACTAAAGGCTCACTGTATCATTCACTGTAGTCAGTCCTATTCACTGATCTCATCAAAGGACTAAAATGCCTCAGGTTTGCCCTCTGCTGGTCTGTTTGGACACTGCTCTGGATAACCCTCTCTAAGCCTGAACTTGTGATTGAGCTGTACTGATGCAGATGTGTAGATAGGGAGACCACCCTCTCCTAATGGCTGTGAACTAAGAGCTCATTTACTTGGTCTGAATATCTGCTGGGAGTACTACTACTGAGGGAATCCCAGGATGAGCTGTGGACTGAGTTGATGGTGATGATCAGTGGCGGACTTACCATTAGACAGAAAAGGCAATTGCATCAAGCTTCACATCTACATCATCCATAGAGTACGACCTTTCCTCACAAAGGAAGCAGTGCAGGTCCTAATCCAGGCACTTGTCATCTCCCGTCTAGACTACTGCAACTCTCTTTTGGCTGGGCTCCCCACTTGTGCCATCAAACCCCTGCAACATATCCAAAATGCGGCAGCCCGCATGGTGTTCAACCTTCCTAAGTTCTTCCGTGTCACCCCGCTCCTCCGCACCCTCCTCTGGCTTCCAGTCGAAGCTCATATCATCTTCAAGACCCAGGTGGTTGCCTACAGCACAGCAAGAGGAACTGCCCCTCCCTGCCTTCAGGCGATCCTCAAACCCTACACCCCAACCCGAGCACTCCGTTCCGCCACCTCTGGTCTCTTGGCCCTCCCACCCCTACGGGAGGGCAGTTCCCGCTCAGCCCAGTCCAAGCTCTTCTCTGTCCTGGCACCCCAATGGTGGAACAAGCTTCCCCCTAAAGTCAGGAAAGCGGAATCCCTGCCCGTCTTTCGAAAACATCTGAAACCTTACCTCTTTGAAGAGTATTTTAAATAACTCTCACAGCGTCTCCACTTGAGGTCCCCCCATGCTCCACTCGAGGCCCCCCAACCCCCCCGACAAACGACCCGCTATCGTGGGCTGCTGGGAGTGGGGGTTTGCCTGGCCACTGTGCCCAGGTTAATGAGGCCACATTGTTGACAAAAAAGGCCCCCCAAAAAGTAAATGAATCCATACAGCCAAATAATAATTCACCATAGATCAATAATTTTTTCCATACATATATTTCATATCAATATTAATATAATCCAGGTTTTTCTCATAATAGTAGAAACAAGTGTCATTAATCACCCATTGACTGGTTCATAATAATGGACTATTCCACCTTGACAGAGTCCCTGTGCATTGTTTCACGCGATATGATTACAAATGTGACTTTCATTGAAATTAAGCTACAGCAATGAGGCGCTTTCAGAGCGTGGCAGAGAAAATGCATTTTTACCGAAGTTAACAGTTCTTTAGTAAAAAGACAGGTGCTGCTGATAATACTGACGTTGTCATTGAGGCAGAGGACATGTATGTTTAGTCCATGTATCTCATACTGTCTGACCAAAAAGAGTATGGCATGTCATATTCTTTTTGGCCAGACAGTATCAGATATATGGGCTACATATAGCAAGACAGAGGGGCGCTGTTTCGCTCGCATGCTTTCTCTGGTGAGATAGTTTCAGCCACTTGCGAATTGAAGGAAAGTTGGCGGGTGCACGTTGCACTGTTAGGATGCTGGAATTACTTTGGATGAACGTGCGAAGGTAGCCTACTTTTTGAAATTTGTTTGTTAATCAGATGAAAGCATCATGACTGGTTGTGTTCATGGCACATTAAAAGGTAATCAATTGTTACAGTTAAATGACATGGAAAACTCAGAGTGGCCTCTGCCTGGGGCCTCCAAATCACTAAGTGCTCCCCTTGTGATGATAATACTGAGGATGATGATGGGAGTGTCAGTATGTAAACCAGTGTATAACCTCACCAGAGCCTGATGCATCACTTTATAATAATGTGACTAAGACAAGAGGGAGAGCGACATTGTTTTCCCAGCCTGAGAGGAAAAGTCCTCAAGCATTACGAGGAAATATTTCACATTGACCCAGGAATCTCCTCACGCCTTCCTCTTAAAATTTCTTGAAGTATTTTTTATCTTTGTATGTTGAAATATCTTTGACCTCTGTGTGTGTGTTGCAGGGCTCCCCGGTCCCGTCGGGCGTGGTAGAGTTTGAGAGGCTGCTGAGGGAGTCCCAGAAGGAGGTGCTGAGGCTACAGAGACAACTGTCAGTCTCCTCCTCCAGAGTCACCTCCTCTAAGGAGACCTCCTGCAGGGAGCACAATGGCCACGACAGGCCCTGCACACCAGAGGAGGAGAGGGAAGAGAATGTAAGGATTGGAACTATTTCATAATATTTTTTTATTTTACCTTTATTTAACTAGGCAAGTCAGTTAAGAACAAATTCTTATTTACAATGACGGCCTACCCCGGCCAAACCCGGACGACGCTGGGCTAATTGTGTGCCGCCCTATGGGACTCCCAACCATAGGCGGATTGTGATACAGCCTGGAATCAAACCAGGGTCTGTAGTGACGCCTCCAGCACTGAGATGCAGTGCCTTAGACCGCTGCGCCAATATATGCCATTTAGCAGACGCTTTTATCCAAAGCGACTCACAGTCATACGTGCATACATGCCCAGCTCCAACACTGCCCCCTGTTGATGATAAAGAGCACTACATCATATCAGAGTGGTATAGGAACAGAAGTCTTTTTGCACTGTTAAAAGGCAAACTCAAAGCAACAGACCTGGGTTCAAAAACGTTTTGAATTAATTTTGAATGCTTTAGCTGTGCTTGATTGAGCTTGCCTGTTGTGATGTAACCAATAGAAAACTCTTAAATGTGCAATCCATACCCACCTGGCACCAGAGATACTTTTGAGGAGATGGGAAACTCCATTCGAATCATATTAACGCCCACCGTGTACTTTGCCCGTACGTTGTCAATGGGCCACGCGGTGCATTCTGGGTACACTCCGACAAGGAGATCTCTCCTTCAAGGCGTCAATGGGAGTCAATTGGGCGCTAGCACAAAAACCCAACATGAGCACAAATTACGTGAACAAGAAGCTCAACATTACAAATATTTTCCAGGATTTGAGGTAATTATTTTTCTCGACTCATACCCTGACTTTTAGAAAGGATTGCGTGATGATTAGCTTAGCAGCCGTGTGATGCAGCATGACAATGCAAAGGCGATTGGTGGACAGTCTGCTGGGCAGAGCGTAATACTTTTCTCCATTCATTTACCGCTGGGATTCTTAACTCCTCCTTTTCTAATATCTCTGCTGGCACTTCAGGCAGGCTAAAGCAAATTATGAAATTATTAGTCATATTTAAAATGGTATATTCCCACCTTGTATTAGTCATTATGATCTTATAAAAACATTAGTACAAATCAAATCAAATTGGATTTGTCACATGCGCCGAATACAACCTTACCATGAAATGCTTACTTAGAAGCCCTTAACCAACAATGCAGTTTTAAGAAAATAGAGTTAAGAAAATATTTACTAAATAAACTAAAGTAAAACAAAAAGTAAGACAATAAAATAACAATAACAAGGCTATATACAGGGGGTACCGGTACCGAGTCAATGTGCGGGAGTACAGGTTAGTCGAGGTAATTTGTACATGTAGGTAGGGGTAAAGTGACTATGCATAGATAATAAACAGCGAGTAGCAGCAGTGTAAAAACAAAGGGGGGGGTCAATGCAAATAATCTGGGTGGCCATTTCATTAATTGTTCAGCAGTCTTATGGCTTGGGGGCAGGAGCTGTTAAGGAGCCTTTTGGATCTAGACTTGGCGCTCCAGTATCGCTTGCCATGCGGTAGCAGAGAGAACGGTCTATGACTTGGGTGACTGGAGTCTTTGATAATTTTTTGGGCCATCCTCTGACATCGCCTGGTATAGAGGTCTTGGATGGTGGGAAGCTTGTCCCCAGTGATGGACTAAGCCGCACGCACTACCCTCTGTAGCGCCTTACGGTCGGAGGCCGAGCAGTTGCCATACCAGGTGGTGATGCAACCGGTCAAGATGCTCTCGATGAGAGGATCTGGGGACCCATGCCAAATCTTTTCAGTCTCCTGAGAGGGAAAAGGTGTTGTCGTGCCCTCTTCACGACTTTCCTAGTATGTTTGACCCATGATAGTTTGTTGTTGATGTGGACACCAAAGAACTTGAAACTCTCGAACCGCTCCACTACAGCCCTGTCGATGTGAATGGGGGCGTGTTCGGCCCTCCTTTTCCTGTAGTCCACGATCATATCCTTTGTCTTGGTCACGTTGAGGGAGATGTTGTTGTCCTGGCACCACACGGCCAGGTCTCTGACCTCCTCCCTATAGGCTGTCTCATCGTTGTCGGTGATCAGGCCTACTACTGTTGTGTCGTCAGCAGACTTAATGATGGTGTTGGAGTCGTGCTTGGCCACGCAGTCGTGGGTGAACAGAGAGTACAGGAGGGGACTAAGCACACACCCCTGAGGGGCCCCCGTGTTGAGGATCAGCGTGGCAGATGTGTTGTTGCCTACTCTTACCACCTGGGGGCGGCCCGTCAAGAAGTCCAGGATCCAGTTGCAGAGGGAGGTGTTTAGTCCCAGGGTCCTTAGCTTAGTGATGAGCTTTGTGGGCACTATGGTGTTGAACGCTGAGCTGTAGTTAACGAACAGCATTCTCACATAGATGTTCCATTTGTCCAGGTGGGAAAGGGCAGTGTGGAGTGCGATTGAGATTGTGTCATCTGTGGATCTGTTAGGGCTAGGGCTGTTGCGGTGACTGTATTACCGCCACACCGGCGGTCACGATTCATGAAGGCAGTAAAATTCCACGTCACCGTTAGTCACGGTAATTAGGCTTCTCCAAGCTCTGATGCTGTTGATGGTCATTAGTAGCCTACCAAACTTGCTAACTGCCTGTCCCTCTAATCACTCTGACATAAATGCAAATGTAATCGAAAATCTAATCAAACACTTAATGAGAGCCCATGAGCTCATGTTGTGCAACATTTCTAAAGGCTATGAAATTGCGCAGAGAAAACAGAGTGATTGCCTCTATTTAAAAGAGGAGGATCCCATAAGATTTCTATAGGCTAGGCCTACTGTATTTATTTCTCAACTTTCCTAATATTAAGCAAATATTAAGCACATTGCTTATCTTTACAACAGGAGTATAGCCTACCTGGCTGTTATGAAAATGAACCACAGGAAAAACGTCCTCCATTCACTATTTAAGTGGAGAGATGACATGTATTTTTTCCCCTGCCCTTGTTTCGAGACAGGTGCATGATAGTGGTCCATTCTAAATCAAAACGAATTTCACACACATATTATTTAGTATATGTAAAGACATGATTAAATCAAGAATAGTCTGTTGGGTGACAGTATTAGCTTATCACTTGTGAATGATATATTATCACTTGTGAATGATGCCCAGCTTAAGGCAAGAAACAAAGCCTTTTTGTAAATACTTTTTCGAATCAAAGTCATGCTTATAGCCTACTGCCGTGTGTGCATTGCTGCGCTTATAATGTGAAGAAATAGCATAATAGTTTATCAACATATTAAGCTAAACGTTCTGATCTGTTGTGTCAGCCTCATTACGTAAAAAATGATTTTTGATGCTAGTAGTTGTATTAATTAAAGACTATGTTTGGAATATTTATTTCTCGCACAGAATAGAATAGGTCAACTTTTGTACTATGGGGTATAGTAGATTGATATAGGCTAGTGTTTTTGCTGTTCGTTAGGCCTACTCATCTTGTTGACTGACGAAAAGTAAATGTGGACAGATCTTCAATATGCACTTCGGAATTGGATAAGGACGCGCGCAGTTGCGTCCCCGATGTGTCTGTCTTCACTTTTAGCCTGTGAGAAAGACCAGATCACGTGATGGAGAGCCATGTGAGTGAGAAGTTCTTCGGAGCAGGCAGCACTCAGGGAGAAGGGCTGCAAAAGGCATGGATTTTTTTAGGTTGCATTATGGCCACACAAAGGGGTTGCCACAAGGAAAATCGAAGCATTATTAAGTGCTTCTCAAATTGTGAATGAGAGACTGATGAAGTGTGTACAACCTGCGCAAAAAAAACAAAGCAGAGCTCATGCCATTCAAGCGACATTTTTCAAATCATCATTAGAGTCGCATCATGCAGCCTTGCAATGTATTAAAAATCTAAACATACAGTGGGGAAAAAAAGTATTTAGTCAGCCACCAATTGTGCAAGTTCTCCCACTTAAAAAGATGAGAGAGGCCTGTAATTTTCATCATAGGTACACGTCAACTATGACAGACAAAATGAGAAAAAAAAATCCAGAAAATCACATTGTAGGATTTTTAATGAATTTAGTTGCAAATTATGGTGGAAAATAAGTATTTGGTCAATAACAAAAGTTTCTCAATACTTTGTTATATACCCTTTGTTGGAAATGACACAGGTCAAACATTTTCTGTAAGTCTTCACAAGGTTTTCACACACTGTTGCTGGTATTTTGGCCCATTCCTCCATGCAGATCTCCTCTAGAGCAGTGATGTTTTGGGGCTGTCGCTGGGCAACAAGGACTTTCAACTCCCTCCAAAGATTTTCTATGGGGTTGAGATCTGGAGACTGGCTAGGCCACTCCAGGACCTTGAAATGGTTCTTACGAAGCCACTCCTTCATTGCCCGGGCGGTGTGTTTGGGATCATTGTCATGCTGAAAGACCCAGCCACGTTTCATCTTCAATGCCCTTGCTGATGGAAGGAGGTTTTCACTCAAAATCTCACGATACATGGCCCCATTCATTCTTTCCTTTACACGGATCAGTCGTCCTGGTCCCTTTGCAGAAAAACAGCCCCAAAGCATGATGTTTCCACCCCCATGCTTCACAGTAGGCATGGTGTTCTTTGGATGCAACTCAGCATTCTTTGTCCTCCAAACACGACGAGTTGAGTTTTTACCAAAAAGTTATATTTTGGTTTCATCTGACCATATGACATTCTCCCAATCGTCTTCTGGATCATCCAAATGCACTCTAGCAAACTTCAGATGGGCCTGGACATGTACTGGCTTAAGCAGGGGGACACGTCTGGCACTGCAGCGTAGTGTGTTACTGATGGTAGGCTTTGTTACTTTGGTCCCAGCTCTCTGCAGGTCATTCACTAGGTCCCCCCGTGTGGTTCTGGGATTTTTGCTCACCGTTCTTGTGATCATTTTGACCCCACGGGGTGAGATTTACATTTACATTTACATTTACATTTTAGTCATTTAGCAGACGCTCTTAACCAGAGCGACTTACAGGAGCAATTAGGGTTAAGTGCCTTGCTCAAGGGCACATTAACGTCATTTAGCAGACGCTCTTAGCCAGAGCGACTCACAAATTGGTGCGTTCACCCTATAGCCAGTGGGATAACCACTTTACAATTTGGGGGGGGGGGGGGTTAGAAGGAATACTTTAGCCTATCCCAGGTATTCCTTAAAGAGGTGGGGTTTCAAATGTCTCCGGAAGGTGGTGAGTGACTCCGCTGTCCTGGCGTCGTGAGGGAGCTTGTTCCACCATTGGGGTGCCAGAGCAGCGAACAGTTTTGACTGGGCTGAGGGGGAGCTGTGCTTCCGCAGAGGAAGGGGAGCCAGCAGGCCAGAGGTGGATGAACGCAATGTCCTCGTTTGGGTGTAGGGACTGATCAGAGCCTGAAGGTACAGGGGTGCCGTTCCCCTCACTGCTCCAAAGGCAAGCACCATGGTCTTGTAGCGGATGCGAGCTTCAATTGGAAGCCAGTGGAGTGTGCGGAGGAGGGGGGTGACGTGAGAGAACTTGGGAAGGTTGAACACCAGACGGGCTGCGGCATTCTGGATGAGTTGTAGGGGTTTAATGGCACAGGCAGGGAGCCCAGCCAACAGCGAGTTGCAGTAGTCCAGACGGGAGATGACAAGTGCCTGGACCAGGACCTGCGCCGCTTCCTGTGTAAGGCAGGGTCGCACTCTCCGAATGTTGTAGAGCATGAACCTGCAGGAGCGGGTCACCGCCTTGATGTTGGCGGAGAACGACAGGGTGTTGTCCAGGGTCACGCCTAGGCTCTTCGCACTCTGGGAGGAGGACACAGCGGAGTTGTCTACCGTGATGGCGAGATCATGGAACGGGCAGTCCTTCCCGGGGAGGAAGAGCAGCTCCGTCTTGCCAGGGTTCAGCTTGAGGTGGTGATCCGTCATCCATACTGATATGTCTGCCAGACATGCAGAGATGCGATTCGCCACCTGGTGATCAGAAGGGGGAAAGGAGAAGATTAGTTGTGTATCGTCAGCGTAGCAATGATAGGAAAGGCCATGTGAGGATATGACAGAGCCAAGTGACTTGGTGTATAGGGAGAAAAGGAGAGGGCCCAAAACCGATCCCTGGGGGACACCAGTGGTGAGAGCACGTGGTGCGGAGACAGCTTCCCGCCACGCCACTTGGTAGGAGCGACCGGTCAGGTAGGACGCAATCCAGGAGTGAGCCGCGCCGGAGATGCCCATTTCGGAGAGGGTGGAGAGGAGGATCTGATGGTTCACAGTATCAAAGGCAGCAGACAGATCTAGAAGGACAAGAGCAGAGGAGAGAGAGTTAGCTTTAGCAGTGCGGAGAGTCTCTGTGACACAGAGAAGAGCAGTCTCAGTTGAATGACCAGTCCTGAAACCTGATTGGTTTGGATCAAGAAGGTCATTCTGAGAGAGATAGCAAGAGAGTTGGCTAAAGACGGCACGCTCAATAGTTTTGGAAAGAAAAGAAAGAAGGGATACTGGTCTGTAGTTGTTGACATCAGTGGGGTCGAGTGTTGGTTTTTTGAGAAGGGGAGTAACTCTCGCTCTCTTGAAGACGGAAGGGACATGGCCAGCGGTCAAGGATGAGTTGATCAGCGAGGTGAGGTAGGGGAGAAGGTCACCGGAGATGGTCTGGAGAAGGGAGGAGGGGATGGGGTCAAGCGGGCAGGTTGTTGGGCGGCCTGCAGTCACAAGTCGCAGGATCTTATCTGGAGAGAGAGGGGAGAAAGAAGTCAAAGCATAGGGTAGGGCAGTGTGAGCAGGACCAGCAGTGTCATTAGGCTTAACAAACAAGGATCGGATGTCGTCAACCTTCTTTTCAAAGTGGTTGACGAAGTCATCCACAGAGAGAGAGGAGGGGGGGAGGGGGGGGGGGAGGATTCAGGAGGGAGGAAAATGTGGCAAAGAGCTTCCTAGGGTTAGAGGCAGATGCTTGGAATTTAGAGTGGTAGAAGGTGGCCTTAGCAGCAGAAACAGATGAAGAAAATGTAGAGAGGAGGGAGTGAAAAGATGCCAGGTCGGCAGGGAATTTAGTTTTCTTCCATTTCCGCTCCGCTGCCCGGAGCTCTGTTCTGTGAGCTCGCAATGAGTCATCAAGCCACGGAGCTGGAGGGGAGGACCGAGCCGGCCGTGAGGATAGGGGACACAGAGAGTCAAAGGATGCAGAAAGGGAGGAGAGGAGGGTTGAGGAGGCAGAATCAGGAGATTGGAGGGAGAAGGATTGAGCAGAGGGAAGAGATGATAGGATGGAAGAGGAGAGAGTAGTGGGAGAGAGAGAGCGAAGGTTGCGGCGGCGCATTACCATCTGTGTAGGGGCAGAGTGAGTAGTGTGGGAGGAGAGTGAGAGAGAAAAGGAAACAAAGTAGTGGTCGGAGACTTGGAGGGGAGTTGCAGTGAGATTAGTAGAGGAGCAGCATCTAGTGAAGATGAGGTCAAGCGTATTGCCTGCCTTGTGAGTAGGGGGGGACGGTGAGAGGGTGAGGTCAAAAGAGGAGAGGAGTGGAAAGAAGGAGGCAGAGAGAAATGAGTCAAATGTGGACATAGGGAGGTTGAAATCCCCCAAAACTGTGAGGGGTGAGCCATCCTCAGGGAAGGAACTTATCAAGGCGTCAAGCTCATTGATGAACTCTCCAAGGGAACCTGGAGGGCGATAGATGACAAGGATATTAAGCTTAAATGGGCTAGTGACTGTGACAGCATGGAATTCAAATGAGGAGATAGACAGATGGGTTAGGGGAAAAATTGAGAATGTCCACTTGGGAGAGATGAGGATTCCTGTACCACCACCCCTCTGACCAGATGCTCTCGGGGTATGCGAGAACACATGGTCAGACGAGGAGAGAGCAGTAGGAGTAGCGGTGTTTTCAGTGGTGATCCATGTTTCCGTCAGCGCCAGGAAGTCGAGGGACTGGAGGTTGGCATAGGCTGGGATGAAGTCAGCTTTGTTGGCAGCAGAACGGCAGTTCCAGAGGCTGCCTGCGACCTGGAACTCCACGTGGGTGGTGCGTGCAGGGACCACCAAATTGGAGAGGCAGCAGCCACGCGGTGTGGTGCGTTTGTGTAGCCTGTGCAGAGAGGAGAGAACAGGGATAGGCAGAGGCATAGTTGACAGGCTGTAGCAAATGGCTACAAAAAGATCTTGCGTGGAGCCCCAGATCGAGGGAGATTATCAGTGGTCTTGTATGTCTTCCATTTCCTAATAATTGCTCCCACAGTTTATTTCTTCAAACCAAGCTGCTTACCTACTGCAGATTCAGTCTTCCCAGCCTGGTGCAGGTCTACAATTTTGTTTCTGGTGTCCTTTGACAGCTCTTTGGTCTTGGCCATAGTGGAGTTTGGAGTGTGACTGTTTGAGGTTGTGGACAGGTGTCTTTTATACTGATAACAAGTTCAAACAGGTGCCATTAATACAGGTAACGAGTGGAGGACAGAGGAGCCTCTTAAAGAAGAAGTTACAGGTCTGTGAGAGCCAGAAATCTTGCTTGTTTGTAGGTGACCAAATACTTATTTTCCACCATAATTTGCAAATTCTCAATTTGTCTGTCATAGTTGACGTGTACCTATGATGAAAATTACAGGCCTCTCTCATCTTTTTAAGTGGGAGAACTTGCACAATTGGTGGCTGACTAAATACTTTTTTTCCCCACTGTATAGCCCATTTGTAGAACAACTAAAGTTACATTAATAACTCTAAATTAAGCATATAGCAGTACCTATTTCTTTGTTAACCGCTCAACACAGAATAGCCGCATTTGCACACTCCCTCAAATCGTTTGGAGAAAATATCCTTTCTATTTTCTTCAGCTTTGTTCAATTGTATTCTTCATACTATAAAATAATGCCACGGAATTCTAAGCAATGAACAAGTATAGCCCACAGCCATATGGCATAGCCAGATCAGGAACTAACATAAGGACAACTCAGACTATGCTATTCTGTTCTTCTGTAATAGACTACATTTTCTTCATATCAGGTTTCTTTAGACCCGTCTAAAATAAATAATGGATTTATTGTGAAGGTGTAGGCTATATTACATGGATTTATTAGACTTTTTAAAATGTAGATGTTCCAAAGGTCTGCATCAGTGGCTTGTAGAGACAGTAGATAAATGTGTTTATATTAATTAACGGTCAATTACCGTGAGTCCGACAGTTATTTGTTTGACAATCACCAGCTTACAACATTTTGTGACCGCCACAGCCCTAGTTGGGGCAGTATGCGAATTGGAGTGGGTCTAGGGTTTCCGGGATGATGGTGTTGATGTGAGCCATGACAAGCCTTTCAAAGCACTTCATGGCTACCGACGTGAGTGCTACGGGGCGGTAGACATTTATACACGTTACCTTCGCTTTCTTGGGCACAGGGACTATGGTGGTCTGCTTGAAACATGTAGGTATTACAGACTCGGTCAGGGAGAGGTTGAAAACATCAGTGAAGACACTTGCCAGTTGGTCCATGCATGCTCTGAGTACACGTCCTGGTAATCCGTCTGGCCCCATGGCGTTGTGAATGTTGACCTGTTTAAAGGTCTTTCTCACATCGGCTACGGAGAGCGTGATCACACAGTCGTCCGGAACAGCTGGTGCTCTCATGCATGCTTCAGTGTTGCTTGTCTCGAAGCGAGCATAAAAGGCATTTAGCCCGTCTGGTAGGCTCGCATCACTGGGCAGCTCGCGGCTGGGTTTCCCTTTGTAGTCCGTAATAGTTTGACGCTCGTCGGATGTGGCAGGGCTTGCAGAGCCGGTGTAGTAAGATTCAATCTTAGTCCTGTATTGACACTTTGCCTGTTTGATGGTTCGTCTGAGGGCGTAGCGAGATTTCTTGTAAGCGTCCGGATTAGGGTCCCGCTCCTTGAAAGCGGCAACTCTAGCCTTTACCTCGGTGCGGATGTTGCCTGTAATCCATGGCTTCTGGTTGGGATATGTACGTACTAGGGCTGCACGATATATCGTTTCAGCATCGACATTGCGATGTATGCATCCGCAATAGTAACATCGCAGAACGTGCGATTTAGTAAGGTAAACATATATCAGTCTACAATATATATATATTTTTTTATGTTAAACTAGCATTATATCTGTCTGATATAACGTAATTTACTTCGATTTATGGGTTATTGGATACACAGTTTATTATTATTATTATTATTATTTTAAACACGGAGTTGGTTGCTGCACGTGGTTGACATGCAGGCTCTGCTTGCGCGTGAAGAAATGATGAGCGAGGAACAGGCAAAAAAGACCGAAATTGAAAATTTGGTTGCAAAAAGAAATGCATCGTCAATTATATGGAAATATTTAGGCTACAGACAGGATGATGTTGACCAAAATAATGTACTTTGTCGAGAGTGCCTTGCAATTGTTGCCACAACACGAGGCAACACGACCAATTTGTTCGATCATTTAAGGCGGCACCACAAATCTTCATATGATGAGTGCAAAGCATCTCAATGCCCTCCAAAGCAAAAATATATTTCAGATGCCTTTGCCAGTATTACACCATACGAGAAAGGTTCCAAACAGCAGAGAGAAATCACAGATTCAATAACATTTCACTTCGCCAAAGACATGGTACCAATTAACACGGTTACCAAAGAGGGTTTTAAAAACATGATCCGGTCGCTTGACAAGCGGTATGTAATGCCATCACGCAACTATTTTTCTCAAGTTGCCATCCCAGAGTTGTACGAGAAATGCAAGGCACAAGTTCAAACAGAGCTGTCACAAGTGGAATATTATACAGCAACAACGGACTTGTGGTCCAGCCGGACAACGGAGCCCTACATAAGTCTGACCGTACACTTTATTAATGAGGACTTCCACCTGAAAAGTCGCTGTTTGCAAACTGCATTTTTCCCAGAGGATCATACATACATCCTGTATTTTTTCATATCGCAATATATATCGCAGAAAAACAAAATATCGCGATTGTCAGTTATTTCCAATATCGTGCAACCCTAGTACGTACGGTCACTGTGGGGACGACATCGTCGATGCACTTATTGATGAAGGCGGTGACTGAGGTGGTATACTCCTCAATGCCATTGGATGAATCCCGGAACATATTCCAGTCTGTGCTAGCAAAACAGTCCTGTAGCGTAGCATCCGCTTCATCTGACTACTTCCGTATTGAGCGAGTCACTGGTACTTCCTGCTTTAGTTTTTGCTTGTAAGCAGGAATCAGGAGGATAGAATTATGGTCAGATTTGCCAAATGGAGGGCGAGCGAGAGCTTTGTATTCGTCTCTGTGTGTGGAGTAAAGGTGGTCTAGAGTTTTTTTTCCTCTGGTTGCACATGTGACATGCTGGTAGAAATTAGGTAAAATGCATTTAAGTTTGCCTGCATTAAAGTCCCCGGCCACTAGGAGCGCCGCTTCTGGATGAGCATTTTCTTGTTTGCTTATGGCCTTATACAGCTCGTTGAGTGCGGTCTTAGTGCCAGCGTCGGTTTGTGGTGGTAAATAGACGGCTACGAAAAATATAGATGGTGTGGTCTTGGTAGATGGTGTGGTCTACAGCTTATCATGAGGTACTCTACCTCAGGCGAGCAATACCTCGAGACTACCTTAATATTAGACATCGCGCACCAGCTTTTATTGACAAATAGGCGCACACCCCCACCCCTCGTCTTACCGGACGTAGTTGTTCAGTCCTGCCGATGCACGGAAAACCCAGCGAACAATATTATCCGTGTCGTGGTTCAGCCACGACTCGGTGAAACATAAGATATTACAGTTTTTTATGTCCCGTTGGTAGGATAGTCTCGAACGGAGCTCATCCAGTTTATTCTCCAGTGATTGCACGTTGGCCAATAGAACGGATGGTAGAGGCGTGTTACCCACTCGCCGACGAATTCTCACAAGGCACCCTGATCTGTATTTCCTTATTTTCTTCATGCGAATGACGGGGATTTGGGCCTTGTCCGGGAGCAACATTATATCCTTCGCGTCAGACTCATTAAAGAAAAAATCTTCATCCAGTTCGAGGTGAGTAATCGCTGTTCTGATGTCCAGAAGCTCTTTTCGGTCATAAGAGACAGTAGCATCAACATTATGTACAAAATAAGTTACAAACAATGCGAAACAACACCCAAAATAGCACAGGCAATATGTATAACCTAGAAGTACCCACCCAGATGTAACTGTCCATCTAAGTACTTTTTATCCCCAAACACCACATTTTGCTTTCTGTGTGCTTCCGTCCAGATGTTGAGGTTTAAACCATCCAGCTGCTGTGGAATGAGTACAGCGCTGCAGCGTTTCCCAAAAGGCAGCGCTGCGTGAGGCGGCGTGTGTGCGGTGACGTGACGCAGCATGTTTAGGGCCAAGTTTGAGATTAGGGTGAAGCTGACTGACTGACACGGACCGGGTCATGTCTTTTCATTACGAGGGGTGGATGGATTGGATGATGGGCCTCAGTACTGGGACGGTTAAGATTATGTGATGTGCGTTTGCGTTTGTTAATGTGGAATTTGGTCAACTGGGGGTTTTCTAGGCTTTGTGTATGTTTACGTTGGCATGGCTGCTGTTAGACAGTGTTATATAATGGCTCTATGTGCTGTGCTGTACTGGCAGGGCTATGCTGATAGAGCTGACTACAGTAATCTGCCTGACTGCCAGAGGACGTAATGAGATGATTCCCTGTCTTGAACTTGGGCCTGATTTAGAGACACAAGTCACACACTCCCTCTGCTCCCTCTGCAACACTGATGACTAAATATATTGTTAATTTCCTCTCACTCGCTACACTACACCCAGATGTGACGGCAGGATAAACCAGGTGTCATGAAATGTTCACGTTTTGGTTGCAGACTCAATTTAATAAGATGTAAATATGTAAATTAACAAAAAGAAGTTTTAAAACAGTGGTTTAATAAGACATGCATTTCAAGACATGAATTATCTTATTTGTCTATGTATTGTATGACAACATAAAGTTTCAGAGTCAAAATTCACTTCTCTCTTTGCAGCTTAGATGAGAACGCTGGTTGTGGTAATCTGTCATTTGTGTGACACACACATACACACAGAGGGACACACACATGCACGCACGCCACAGAAAGGGGCCATGTTGTGTGGCTGTGCACTCTAATCCCCTCTAACAAGAGAATGGTACAGTCCAGTAATCCTCTCTCTGTTGCCGTGGTAGCGGTGAGAGGGTTTTGGATGGTAGGTAACGGTAAGACTCCAGCCGACTCTCCTACCAAACACTTTCCTAGCCGCTCACCCGCCTCGCCCTGCCTTGCCCCTGCTCTGGATAATTGGGGGCCGGGGATAGCCTTGACGTTGCAACAGATCACTGGAGAGGGGTAGGTTGTATTTGGTGGGGGTGTGTGAGGGTGTGTGTTGGTGTCTTTAGGTCCCAGTGGCTCTGTGTTTGTGGTTAACCTTGTGGTATACCCCATAGGTACTGTAGGACTGTGGCTAGGCTTGACAGGACAATGTCAGGATAAATAATCAGACATTTCTAGCAGTTTGCAGAATAATCGTCAAAGTGCAATATGGTTAAGGTTTAGGAAATCCAGATATTTTGTGTTGTTATAAGTCTTTGAAACAGGCAAGTGAAAATGTCATCAGAGGAAAAGATTACCATAGCCCGCTGCCTGTAGCTTCAGCTTGGCTGCTCTGTCGGCGTTCCCTGTTCTCTATGTTATTATTGCACATGACGAGTCCCAAGTAAGTGGATTTCTTCTGCAGATCTGATATCGCTGTTGCGTTTCAATATGCATTTCACTAAATCCCACATTGTAACTCCAACCTCGGTTTACACTGGTGCCATAACACTCGCCTGCAAAGCGAGGGGCATGAGCCAAGAGCCGAGGCCTACTAGTGGAGTCACAGTGACGCCTTTCTCTAAAACCTGTTTTGGAACTGTCAGTCAGTCAGATATTTCAGATCCCAGATGTGGGAATTTAGACAGCAGCTAGCAGCATATCGTCCGTGACTTACCGACCGCCAGGCCAGAATAGTGGACATAGCAGCATTATGATAGCAGTATGGCATCGATGATGATACGTAGCTGATTTAAAACAGAAAACCAAACCAGCAGCCAGGCCAATCCAATCCATTAAGGTGCTTTTAAAAAGAAGTGATCCAGTTACCTGTTTCAGTAGTCCTCCACAGGGATTACACCAATGTGCTTATTGTGTCCTATCCAGGCCCAGGTCTCTGCTGACTGAATGGGATGTGACACTGCTGCTGTAAGCACGGACCTGGCCTATAGTACCTAAGCCTAGAGTATACATCTATGGTATGTGTAGGGGGACAGTATGTGCTTTAGTAAGCATGGACCTGGCCTTCTATACTCTACCTGTAGTATGCATAGGATAAACATATATTATGTGTAAAGAAAGTGTAAACAAACGTTCTTCAGCCCAGGTGCTCAACTGAGGTACTTGAAAATCAAATAAAAACATTCCTCACCTCAGGACACTTCAATGGGTGAATATCAAGGAAAATAAAGAAAAAACACTGTTTCTGCATAGATCTGATTATTCATTTATGGGACATACAAACAGGACTGTCTGTAGTATATGCGTAATATTATGCATAGTATTGGCTTTATTAGTTACCAATGTGCTTATGGCATCCAGGACCAGGCCTGACTGAATGGGTTCTTTTGACACTACTGCAGTAAGCATGGACCCACCCTACTGTATGGATGGACTACACCAATAGGATGTGTATGGTGCTTTAGTAAGCACGGAGCTATAGTATGTGTTGGTTGAACAGTGTGTGCTTTAGTAAGCATGGACCTGCCCGACTGTCCCTCAGTATCCATGAAATAAACCTAGGGTAGTGTGCATCTGCTATTGTAAGCATGAGCAATGCTTTGGCTTTAGGTCGATGCGCTTTAGTATGTTGTAGTCCAAGTATGTTTTATAGGCTCTCTGTTTAGCTATGGACCGGGCCTTGTGTTGCATTGTCCATGTCGTATGTGTGTAGGCCTAGTGCACATCATGCTTTAGGAAGCACGGATCCAGGCTACTGCTAGTAGGTAAATTGTATAGTTTTCTTGCTCAGTAGGTATGAACTAGGCTTTTTGTGCAGTTGTTTTATAGTTAATAAACTACTGGTTTGATAAACTCAGACTATGCCTTGTGCTGTGTCAGGTAAAGTACTGTATGTGTGGTCCAGAGATGGTTGCCAAGGCCAGGTGTTTGTAGTGTATAGACATAATCATGGACCACTCCTTTGGCTTCATGTGGCTGGACACAGAGTTAGGCGGAATTCATGGTTCACAGCTGCAGAGCATATTATTACAACTTCACAAGCCTCATCTAATTGGCTGTTATAGAGGCATGGACGTAATGTCAGAATAGACTGCAGACTAGTATCACGGCTGCGAACTGTGATTTGAAGTTTGTGTTTTTTGGGGTAACAAAGCCTCAGGGGTGGACGCAACAGTCATGGTGTTGTCATAATGGAAAGACTTCCTACTTGCTTACCACCAAACAATGATCAAATACAACTGAAACGTACTGGGGGAGTTTAGTCTAGTGGTAGAGCTGCCGACTCCACACTAACCCTAAGATCTGCCACTTTCTGTCCTGATGTATATACCTGATCTGTCTCCCCATCTCTTTCCTTGCTGTCTAAATAAAGTACAAAATCCGAATAAAAACGAACAAATGAAACAATGTATTACACTAAAAAACAACAAAAATAACATTGCTTCTGCCACATGTCCTGCAACAGTACTTTTCTTTCCTGCCACTGCCGCAAGCCGTTACAGATGAGTAGTTACTGTAATTAAGAAGCCAGCTAAACCCATAATTGACAAGTTACATTGCATAATGTTGCACAACGATTCCCTGAACAATGCCATGTCAATGTGCATGTTCGGACATTTTGAGTGATTGGTGTAGTGGAGCGGGTTGAGAGCTTCAAGTTCCTTGGTGTCCACATTCACTAAGGACCTATCATGGCCCAAACACACCAACACAGTCGTGAAGAGGGCACAGCAACGCCTCTTCCCCCTCAGGAGGCTGAAAAGATTTGGCATGGGCCCTCAGATCCTCAAAAAGTTATACAGCTGCACCATTGAGAACATCTTGACTGGCTGCATCACCGCTTGGTATGGCAACAGCTCGGCATCCAACAGCAAGGCGCTACAGAGGGTGGTGTGTACGGCCCAGTACATTACTGGGGCCGAACTCCCTGCCATCCAGGACCTTGATACCAGGCGGTGTCAGAGGAAGACCCTAACAATTGTCAAAGACTTCAGCCACCGAAGTCATAGACTGTTCTCTCTGCTACCGCACGGCAAGCGGTACCGGAGTGCCAAGTCTGGGACCAAAAGGCTCATGAGCAGCTTCTACCCCTAAGCCATAAGACTGCTGAACAGTTAATCAAATGGCTATCCAGACTCTACCCACACACTCACACGTACTACACTGACACGCCAACATACACACACACACTACATATGCTCACACACACAAAACACACACATGCATATTGACGCCACACACATACACACTCACACACAGACACACTTTCACACTCTTCACACATGATGCTGCTACTCTGTTTATTATCTATCCTGATTGCCTAGTCACTTCTACCCCCACCTACATGTACTGTACATACTGTATTACCTCAATTACCTCAACTACCTCTTACCCCTGCACATTGACTCTGGTACTCCTTGTATATAGCCTCCTTATAGTTATTTTATTGTGTTACTATTTCCTTTTTTATTTTTTATTTAGCAAATAGTTTTATTTTTAACTCTGCATTGTTGGGAAAGGGCTCGTAAGTAAGCATCTCACAGTAAAGTCTACACCTGTTGTATTCGGCTCGTGACCAATAAAATGTGATTTATTAATTTATTTATTTAAGGTATATTTAATGCTAACATGAGGAATTTTTGCATCGTCGTTGGCCGCAATAAACAGCTGGCTGGTGTCAAGTACTCTTTTCACACTACTGAGCCGAGCTGCGCTGGCCTGGCTACACTTCCACCCATAGTTGCTGGAACCGTGCTGGGAAAGGACACTATGGAAGGAAAGGACAATTTAAGCAAGCACTGTATGGTTCGGGTCGGAACAATAGTGTGAAAAAGGCAAAAGTGTGTGAGAGGTCCAGGAACGGTCCAAGAAACGTCTGCATGTCTTTGCACCAAATCGGTATATTCCAATATAGACCATTGGCAAGGGTTAGGTGTAAGGGATCTGATGACGAGTAGGCGGGGAGTCGCTGTGCTCTGGCTGTGACAGTGTGACAGTGATAGGCCATTAGAGTGAGTGTCACTAGAACAGGTCACACATGGTCATCCTCAAGTCCGCTGGCGCGGCTGTAACTGGGCTCTGACTGGGAGCGCTCAATATCAGCATGGGGCGATGAAAACACTGGATTCAATATCAGCATGGGACTTGTCTGTTTACACACAAAAACAGCACTATACGGGTTAAACACAGCAAGACATAACACATAACATTGCCTGTTGGCTGACAAGTTACTACACTTGAGTGACAAAATACCTCTACTAAGCGTATTGTACAGAACTTAAGTACTGTGCAAAATGGGTTGTTTTATAGTACCTTCAAAATATATTCACATATACTATGTAAGATGCACTATTCACATACAGTATTTGACTGTTCGATTCATTGAGCCTCAATTATCAATCATGTGCAGCACAAATGTTTACGTTATTTGTCGGTATGAGCGATCTTTGCTCGATAATTACAGCATTTACATTATGTTGATACATGAGGCCCAGTGTGTCGATGGAACAGTCTAAGATGGTTCTGTACATACAATCCCATATAAACTGAACAAAAATATAAACGGAACATGCAACAATTTCAACGATTTACAGTTACAGTTCATATAAGGAAATCAGTCAATTGAAATAAATTAATTAGGCCCTAATCTATGGATATCACATGACTGGGCAGGGGTGCAGCCATGGGTGGGCCTGGGAGGGCATAGGCCCACCCACTGAGGAGCCAGGCCCAACCAATCAGAATAGGTTTTTCCCCACAAAAGGGCTTTATTACAGACAGAAATACTACTCAGTTTCATCAGCTGTCCGGGTGGCTGGTCTCAGACGATCCCACAGGTGAAGAAGCCGGATGTCGAGGTCATGGGCTGGCGTGGTTACACGTGGTCTGCGGTTGTGAGGCCAGTTGGACATACTGCCAAATTCTCTAAAATTACGTTAGAGGTGGCTTATGGTAGAGAAATGAACATTAATTTCTCTGGCAACAGCTCTGGTGCACATTCCTGCAGTCTGAACCTCAGCATTGTGGGCGAACACTCAAATTCCCTCCTGATACATGCCTATCTGAGCTCAGGGGACCGACCGCTTTCACTCCGTCACTTCCCTAGAACAATGGACTGGGCTTAGGTGTACTGACAGTCGGACAGTATTCTATTCTACGGTTCTATTGTAGGTAACCCTAATAACGAGGGCTTTGAGCCCAAATATAGTTTTTCAAATAACATTTTATTTGCCACATGCGCCGAATACAACAGGTGTAGACCTTACAGTGAAATGCTTACTTACAGCTCGTGTTGTATATTGTAAGTGTGTGTGTGCTCATGTGTGCAAGTATATATATGTACTCCCGAGTGGTGCAGTGGTCTAAGGCACTGCATCGCAGTGCTAGCTGTGCCACTAGAGATCCTGGTTCGAATCCAGGCTCTGTCATAGCCGGCCGCGACCGGGAGACCCATGGGGGTGGTGCACAATTGGCCCAGCGTCGTCCAGGGTAGGGAATGGCCGGCAGGGATGTAGCTCAGTTGGTAGTGCATGGCGTTTGCAATGCCAGGGTTGTGGGTTCGATTCCCACGGGGGACCAGTATGATAATTTTTTTTTTAAATAATGTATGCACTCACTAACTGTAAGTCGCTCTGGATAAGAGCGTCTGCTAAATTACCAAAAAAAATTATTGTGTGGTCTCAAACGGCTAGCAGCACTGAGCGGTATCTTCATAGAGATCTAAGCAGTCACTTCAGAGAGTTTTCTCTTCACATGGTGCTGGCTGGTCCTTAAGTTTGATCCTGTTACTCGGTCATAGCCTTGTCTGCACTAGCCCAGTTCTACAGGAGTAGATAAGTAGGTGTGGCTCTAAAATTAGATACCTGATTCCTGACTCTTAACCCGATGAAGCTAGGGTGACAAGGAGAAGACACCAATGTCATCCAGAGCCACTTCCCCCACACTTAGTTCCCCTCCCCCAGCCACAGCTGTTATTTCTCTATGAACGAATGAACAACAGACTTTCAGCATGCCTGTAGAGAAGGGCATTTTACGTACTGCACTGACACAAATGACTCTATGATTGGCTGAAAGAAATTGATAATAAGAAGATGGTGGGAGCTGTACTGTTAGATTTCAGTGCAGCCTTTGATATTATTGACCATAATCTGTTAGCGGAAAAACATATCTGTTATGGCTTTACACCCTCTACCATATCGTGGATTAAAAGCTATCTATCTAATATAACACAGAGGGTTTTCTTCAATGGAAGCCTCTCTAACGTAATGCATGTAAAGTGTGGAATTCTGCAAGGGATCTGTCTTGGCCCGTTACTGTTTTATATTTTTACTAATGATTTACTACTAGCCTTAAACAAAGCCTGTGTGTCTATG